TTTTTCTCTGTATCTATGAAGCGCCTTGAGGCGACTTTTGTTGTGATTTGGCGCTATATAAATAAAATTGAATTGAATTTCTAAATGTGAGAGATGCAGGGTACATAAAGCTTTCAAAAAACATTGTGTTGCTGCTGTAATAAGTAAAGTGCTGCCATTCATTTGGTGCGTTTTGCCTCCATACAGCCCAGATAAATTAGATTTAATAAATGTAGAGTTCTTCAGATAGTTGTCTCCTGTCATTTGCTGTGATCAGGGAGTTAATTTACTTTAATTTAACATTCATTCTGACTCACAAAGCCACCATAAACACATAAACGAGGCCATCAACGATCTGATGTTGTCGTCCTGTCCTACGTTTTTCCCCCTAAGGACTGACTAGTGCCGGTCTGTCGGTAAAATAGAGTCGCAGAGCTTTACAGCCTAATTTATTGGCCGTTCTCACGAGCAGTGCCGCGAGGTTTCAGGGCATGCACTCTCTTCTTTTGTTCCTCACTTTTTTGGGGGGCTAGGTGATTATCAGCATGCACATGACGCTGTCAGTCAGAAAAGAATGACAAATAGACTATTACAGTGTTGGATGCTCATCTTAAACTGGCAGAAGTTTTGTTCGGTAATCTCTGGGAGCGGAAAGCTCACATTGAGAGCAGATATTCATCCACCTGCTGTTTGAACCTTCTGTTTGTACGGAGCAACCAATCAGGTGAAAGTTCATTTAAAGGGAGAGGAGCTAAAATGATTCATTTATGACAAAAGGGTAAACGGAGGGACTGCACTGAGACCAGAGTTAAGGATAGATTGGTGCTGTAAGCGAACAGAACAGGCAGCCTTTAAATGTCTGTATGTGAAGGATTTATAACTTTAGCTTAAACTGTTTGGTCTCACTGAGTTAATTAGTGTTTTTAGTTCTATTTTATAGCCTTACATTTTTGTGGCTGGTTTAAATAAAAGAGGCATTATTGTATGATGTACTGCTAAAGAAAACCATGCTAAATAGAAAAACATGTTGCTGGATTGCCCGTGATGTAGGGATTAATTCGATGGATGGAGCCGGCCAAGAAAGTGACCAACGCTCACATATCCCGCATTCCTGAAAGGGATGAAAACGTACAAATCTACAAACGAGGCAAGCCTCAAAAGTGTTTCGTGAGTGAGGTCCTTTTTTTCCCTCATCGACTGCTTACAGTGCCGTAAACAGCTGGTTTTCTTTTGTGTTTACACAAGGTATACTGTGGTAGGAAAAAATGACAGCGCTGCGTGCTAGCACGCCACAGATAGCTTGATGTCGTCAGCAGAGTTGGGTAAGGCATTCGCTGCAGGGCTCTGGTATAGACCAGAGAATTTATGTCAAATTAGAGATCTTTATACACCGTCTGTGTTATGTATGAGTAACAACAACAGCGCTACGCTACACTGTAGTCATGCTTTGTGTGTGCAGTTGTGTTTTTTGTGGCTTTAAGATCTTCTGTTTCCTGGATCTGACTGATTTCTGCTTTTGAAACTGAGGTCAGGCCACTGCTCTTACTAGTGAGCTTACCTGGATAGGCAGCAGCAGTACAGCTGGTGGGCGTTTGGTCTACCTTCATGGCCAAACCAAAGCTGCCTCTGTAGGAGGTGCTGTCTCTCACCACAAAGGTTCCTGCTTCCTTGTCTTTTACCAGAGCTTCAGCTAGAATGAATAAGACATCAAAAATGCTCAGAAAAATGCAACAACGTGTGTTTTATTACTCAAGAAAAACACTTTAGCTTGATGGCACACTTTCAGAGTTTGAACAAAGCTTTCGAGAAGATTCCCATTGATGGAAAAGCACCGGGGGGCATTGAATGTGTTTAACGTTGTGGTGAATGCTTTCATGCTGAATTGCATCAACATTTTCTGCTTTAAGCAGGACTGTGAAATGAAATAGTTACTTTTGAGACCTCCTCAAACAAATCCACTGTGAATTTAGTGCTTTTACTGTAAGGTCTTCGTGTGATGTTTGCTTGGGTCTCACCTTCTGCTCTGCTGATGTGTGGACGGAACCAAAACTTTGACGTATCCATGACAAATTTCATCGATGGCTGGCTGCCGTTAAAACGGGCTTGAGAGCTGGAATATGTTGGTTTTGACACAGGGTTCCTCTGGAGTGACTCGATCTGTGGTTCAGGGCTGTCCAGATCCTGTTGAGGTGCACCGTTGACTAACAGTACGGGAATATCGGTCAGTGACCCTGAGACTGGGCCGTTCTGTGCTCTTCTGCTGTTCACTTCCTGTAAATGTCCTCGCTTCGTCATCAAGGGCTTCTCCAGGCTTCGCCTGTTATTACATGGCTTCATCCTGGAATCGTCGCTAAAGGAGCCGGGTAGCATGGACTCTGGAAAATCGGCATCTTCACCGGCTAAGGAGAGGTTACTATGAGGAAAGAAAAAGGAGGAAAAATAATGTTGGAAACACAAGGTTCTTTTGCAGTGAGAATTTTTTGAAATTTTTAATTCCCTCTAGAAGGATAACTATAATTAAAGGAACAAAGACTTTAATAAAAAAAAAACATGTGTTTTTTGTTTTTTAAATTTAAAAGTGTTTTTGTAACTATCCTGTGCAGAAACAAACCTCTTCAAGAGGCTTACCTCACTTTGTGAATGAAAAGGTCTTCTTAATGACTAGCATGGTTAAATTGAGGTTCTAGTCACTTAAGCCCCTTTTCCATTATTACCGACTGGTCTTGACTAGGCACAGTTTTCACCTGTTACCAGGTACTTTTTTAGTACCTGCTTGGCCGGGGTTCCAAGCAATCCGAGCAGGTACTAAAATGGGACGTCGTCAGACTGGATGCCACCGATTGGCTGGTCAGTAGCATCACTCTACGAGTCATGAGAGTGTTTTGTTCACGGAAATCAAAACCGGCATTTTTGAAACCCGACAACTGGGAAATGGCAACAAAAAAACAACTCGGTGATCCCCAAGTCTGACAAAAATCCACAGACCGAGCAGCAGGTTTATTCTTGTCCACCTTTATTGTAGCGTTCGTGCTGCGTATTATTAATAATAATAATAATGGATTGGATTTATATAGCGCTTTTCAAGGCACCCAAAGCGCTTTATAATGCCACTATTCATTCACTCTCACATTGACACACTGGTGGAGGCAGCTACAGTTGTCCTGGGGCAGACTGGCAGAAGCGAGGCTGCCATATCGCGCCATCGGCCCCTCTGGCCAACACCAGTAGGCAGTAGGGTAAAGTGTCTTGCCCAAGGATACAACAACCAGGACAGAAAGCCCGGGGATCGAACCGGCGACCTTCCGGTTACAGCTTCCCAACCCCCTGAGCCACGGTCGCCCCTTAATTAAGTTGTGGGACGCTTGGACATGTTGTCATGACAAAGATCACATTTGGAGGTACTAAATTGTAATGGAAAACCAGTCAATCCGAGTAGGTACTAATGGAAAAAAGGGCTTTACGGCACTACATTAAGGCACAAAGTGGTTTTAAACCAAAGTACAGCGCCGCACCAGTTCAAATGCAGTCAACAGCTCTTTAACACAATACATGTTTTTGGAAATGCAAGTCAGTTTTCTTCTTTTCTGTTGATTAAGTTATTTTTTTAAATATTTCAAACAATTTCAGAACAAAAGAAATTACAGTGGGTAACTGGATATCAAATGGTAAAAACTAAAATAAAAGCAAAGAATTGTGTGTTAAATGCCTTTTGCCTTAGATATATCCAGACTGTGCTTGTGTATAGTGCCCTGCTAAATAAAAGCAGGAGACTGAGCCAAGAAAAACCATGAAAAGTCTTTTCTAGCCCTTCCTATTAAAAGTGTCACTAAGTTCTTCCTCATGGAAGACTGTCGTGGAGTCTTTACCTCTAATTATAATGCACCTTTAGACGACTGTTGCGATGTAAACTGGTGCTGCAGGAACAAATTGAACATGAGGTTGTGCAGTATTTTAGGCCTAGTGCAACCTGACCTATTTTTTCTAGCTACAGTTTTAAGTTGCTCTATAAATACATGACAAACAGACACTCGTAAAATACACACATAACACTCATTGATTCTAAAAGCGCACAGCTGTAAGGATAAACTTGAGGACTACGTGATTGCACTGGTTCAAAATGTAGACTGCGGGTTGCAGGTTTCGTGATAAGAACTCAAGTGGGTGATTGAAATCATTTCTCACAGGAAACCAAAAGACCAAAATAACCAAAAATAAATAAAGACGAGTCACAATAATAAGGCCTGTTTTAGATCAGGGGAGAGATGCATGTCAGAAATTGTTTCATGTCAGAAATTTTGTGCACATGGACATAAATTGTCCTGATTTCATAGTAAATTCAGTAAAAAATTTGAAACTAGTGTATTTCACTGGGAAGTACAGTTAGTTTCTGCATGCCCCCCCCC